GCTTGACGAGATTCTCATTTAAAGATGCACTGAACCATGACCCACATAATAATAATAATAATAATAATAATGATCCCACCACCATGTTTCACTGTATGGACCGTGATCTTTGGGTTATATGTCTTTTATATGCCTCACCCTACTTTTTGCTTTCTTGTGGGCAAAGAGCTCTGGTTTCCTCTTCCCGTATGGATAACCTTTCTCCGGTTTATGTTAAACATACTGCAGTCTGGCTTAAAGATGTCTCTTATGCAGAAGTGGAGGTTTTTTGGTCTGCGACCTCGCAGTAGTGATTGTCTTTAGACACATCTCTCACTAGTTTTCCTTTCCAGAGCCTTTGAAATCTTTTGCTTCCTACCTCTGCCAGGTTTTTCCCTTACATCTTATATACAGAGACACAGACAAAGAACATTCCACAAACTCTTACATGTTGGGGGGGGGGGGGGCTATACCTCCTCCCTCACAGAGAGAATTATGACCTTGTGAGGGAGGAGATTTACACCTAAAGATTTACATCCCTGATAAGCAGAAGGAGTACCACTATCTGTTTAACGTCTCCCATTACAACGGCCTCAATGTGTTAACATTCCACATGCATGTAAACAGGTGACAGGAGTGCTCTTACTATAGTATAGTGAGAAAGTGATATTACTATAACTAATGTGATATGATTGAATATGTGATTAATACATGAGAAAAGAAATCTGCCACCACACTTCCTTCTGCAATTACTTTTAAAAAGCACATCTACTTCACTGCGTTCCAGGTAATCTCCAGATATATCTGCCAGTACAAATCAATATCAGTGTTTTTATTTCTGTTCTCTGGCGAACACTCTCAGAGATACATGATCATAAATGAAGAAGTTATTTTATTTGGGCAACCCAACCTTCTACATGGGTATGACAGTGACCATGGTCTTTGAGCTTCTTACTTTCACCCAGTTTTAGGAACTTTGGTGTGATTTTTGAGTTGACACCTGTGATTATCATTTCATGTTGTTATAATTTAGTTCTTTTCAACTACACAGCAACCACCGGGTTATGAGGCCCCAAGATCAACCGTAACACAGGCCTGTCAGAGTGGGTCTCGTTAGTGTAACATGTGTGTAACATGTTAATTCTGTGGCGTTTAAAATGCTGCAGCATGCCGGTGCAGTTTAAAGAAACAGGAGCTCAGCCAAGCAGTTGCTCATTTGCTTTTAACAGTGTGACACGACAATCAGACATTTCTTTCCTGTTGCAGAAATGTATCTGTCACCTCAGTAGCAGAGATAAAAATATATGCCTTTTTTCACGGTAGGTCTTTTGACATTTCATAGTAAGTAAGAAGCTTCTGCTTTCTAGTGCATTTTCACCTGTCTATGCTGCCTCAATATCATAACGCAATGGCTTAACTGTGACACCTGAACATTTTTTTAATGTTACAAGTGTCACCTTTGGCTCCTTTAGAACTGAACACGAAAATCTTCTATAGTGTTTTGAAAAAAAAAACTATGCTGTGACTTTAGGTTCAGTTTTAGAATTTTTGAGCACATCGGTCTGCATAAATGTTACATCAGCAATTTAAATAAACCTAAATAATATATTGTATGTGTGCTACGCACAAGGTTTATTAATTTGTGGAGAATAGGTATGGGTGAAAGGTCCTAATAAACGTTGCAGTTTGATTTGCTGTAAACAACAGCCTTAGCTGTGATTTCCAACTAAGACCACTTGCAACGATGAGCAGTTATACATCAGCACACTGGTGAGTCCAGCAGGTCTGTTGTCAGCTCTGCTGTGAATGGAACAGGGGGAAAACTGGGAAGTATTCCCTCATTATGTTTTTTTTATTAGGATTTGAGAGAAGCTCTAGTCTCCAAGTTTCATGGAGGTAAGGTCTCTGAACCACACAGGTTACTATGAAACACATTACAAAGGAGGAGAAATTCTCTGTTTCAAATTGAAAGAAAAATCATCTCTCCTTAGCATACAGCTTAAGTTTGAAAATATCCTGCACGTGGTTAAGTTAGCCTACTTTTGGAGGACTACAGATGAGCTGTTCTTAAAAAAATAATAAAAATAAGAATAAGAAGATTGTATTGATCCCAGAGGGAAATGCATAGTAAGCACAGAAACTGCCAGGGGGCTGACTTGCCAAGATCAGTGCATCAGATCATAAAATAACAAATGTAAATATTTTAAAACCACTAATAGTGTCATAATCAAATTTGCTGTTGTTCATTGGTGAAGTCTTTGTCTTTATGGCCGATGAGAACTACCCTCTAAGTAAACTCATGGTGTTGAGTTTATAGCTAGTTTCACATGCCTTTAATATACCATGGGGCTCTGTTTTTCTTACATTTTAGTCACTCGGGTCAAAAAGGATGACAAACCAGAAAAGCCTACATTGTAATACAGAAATCACTACCATAGTAGCTCAGTCAGATCCAAAAAATAGCATTTTTTACAATAAAATATGGTGCATTCATAATTTGCTAAGCTACCACAAAAGCTACCTGTGTTACTTTGTATCATATAAAAATATTTTTTAAGTTTAGCAAATGCAGCAAACCATCAAAGATGTGAAAAGTCCAAAGTTAAACTTCAGCTATGCAGTTACATTTGAACTACGCTGCCAGAGAAGTGAAATGCAATTCCCGTTTAGTGGAAGGTCTCTTAGTGGTGGTTAATCATGCACTGCCTGCAGTACTAAATCCCTTTCCTTTCCCCCCAGGCCTCTATCTAAGAGCAAACATATAAAAGTCAAGAGAGCAGTTCATGGTACCCAGCAGAATATAAAACACCGACCCTGAGATTGTACGTTACTCGCAGCACTTACTATTTTATTAGTAAGTCAGCATTTCACGATTCTAACAAAACTGTCCATATTTTCATAATGCTGACCTTGCAAGTTTTCTATTACAAAAAATTGTCTCAGTTTGCGGTCATAGAATATTGTTTGCCACTTTATTTGAGTCAAAGAATGAGTGAATAAGGCAATAATTTCTCTTTCAAGGGTTTGACATGACAGAAGTCATGCTTGCTGTCATTATCATCAGCTGCTGTAAGACCACTTTCTGTGTTGTGATTGGATCAGTGCACCTCCACTCGTTCATTCAGAGCTACACATTTAAGCTGACAATTGTTTTGGTCATCATATTGTTAAATAGTTTTGACAAATTAGAGCACATCACAAAAACAAATGCAATCATGAATATATCTTCATATTGTTCTAAACTGATATATTGAACGCAATCAGGGACTAGATTTGTCACCCCGACTGTAAGTACTAGATCCAAGTGTCAAACATTTGGCCCTCAAGCCATAAACAGCCCACTAAACAGCCTAATCCCATGCACAGGATGGCTTTGTGAAGAGGAGGGTAACATGTCAAACAAAATGTGGAAAAGGTGCACAAGCCAAACCTCCTAGAGAGCCATAGGGTTCAGGTTTCTCTGCACAGCAGGGCTGCTGTAACTCTAAACTCAACTATACATCCAGCCATCCATTGAATTTTCTTCCACTAATCCAATTCAGAGTTATGGGCGGGCTGAAGCTTATCCCAGCTGTCATAGGACAAGAGGTGGGGTACATGGTGGCTCAAAGAGTTGGCAGTTCGTCTTGCAACCGGAAGGTTGCTGGTTCAAGCCCTGGCTCGGACAGTCTCAGTCGTTGTGTCCTTGGGCAAGACACTTCACCTACCGCCTACTGGTGATGGCCAGAGGGGCCGATGGCGCGATATGGCAGCCTCGCATCTGTCAGTCTACCCCAGGGTAGCTGTGGCTACAACTGTAGCTTGCCTCCACCAGTGAGTGAATGAATAGTGGAATTGTACAGCGCTTTGAGGGCCCCGAAAAGCGCTATATAAATGCAATCTATTATTATTATAGGCCTCCAAACTCCACTAATAAATATGAAAACAATAAAGCAATAACAGCAGTAAAAATAAGATCAAAATCAAGACTTAGACAAAGTGATTAAATTGGTTCATTCTCAGAATGTACTTGTGCTCCTGCACACTTTTAAAACATGCTGTTTTGTCCCGGTTTTAATCTGACAGCCCATTTAAGATCAAACCGAGCTCTGTTTGAACTACAATGAGTCTGACAGCCCTGCTCGAGACGGCTTATATATGTTCTGGCCATATCATGCTTTAATTATATTCCCCGCATTATCTGTGATAATGTTCTTGTACTGAATTTGTCACATACTCAGCAGTAGGGACATTCACCTTGTCTCATTGCCGGGATGCAGAGCGTTGATTGCAGTGAGCAGGTTTTTGGCAGAGTTTTTACGGGTGGAAAAGGAAACTGTTTTTCTTTTTTTCTTTCTGCTTTGACTTCATAATAAAAAAAATCTCTTCTGGCAGTGGGAAAGAGAACAAAACAGAAGCAGCCCATGCTGTTAGCCTACTGTCTAATCACTCTTTCCCATGTTGGCGTACAAATGCTGCAACACTTTAAGCAACTGTTTTCAACTAGTAGAGTCAAGGATTCTCTTTCTGGAAAACTCAAAGTGTTTACATGTTAAAGTAAAGAGATGGTATATTTTCGATATTGTGTCTAGCACGTCATCAGTGTCCAAGCCAACATCATTAGGCTAATTAATTCTGATGCTCAGTAATTAGTCAGTACACCTGCCATGTGTCAGCTGTTGCCTCTCCACCATGGGCGGTAGTTTTTAAGTAAAAGCGGGCTTGGAACGAAAGCGAGCTTTTGTGTTTGTTTGAAGTCACCTTCGAGAATCCACTTCAAGTCCATTTTGAGCATGCCAAGCATAACTGGTGTTTGAAAACATGGTTGCTCAGAGAGGTGGCTGTTGACAGAAGAAAGACTCAGCTATGGCTTCTCATTCTGAGCCAAGCAGCCGGTTGACTGTCCTCTCAGAGCGTAGTGATTGGGTGGCCTCTCGGCTCAAAAAGAAATGACCCCTCCATCTTTCACACACTGCAAAGTCAGAAACACACACACACTCTATTCTCTATGTGAAGTTCCTCTCTGTCGGTTTCTCCCTCAGAGCATGACGAGTGCGCCAGCGGCCAGGATTTGTGTGATGAGAACGCCATCTGCACCAACACCATCAGGGGACATCTGTGTACCTGCAAGCCAGGCTATGTGGGAAATGGCACCATCTGCAGAGGTAAGTTCCTAACCCTGGAATATCCCACCTGACACACAGACACAGAAACAAAAAACCTTGCCACATCCTCTGAAGATAGGTTGCATGCTTCATTACAACACGGTTCATGTGGTTCGCTCCTCCTTCCTATCCTCTAACCAGGCAGCAGCTGCCATGGAGATGGTGAAAATTGAATCTGGACCATTTTCAGACAGTTTTTGCCCACATGTGCTTCTTTCCCCTCGCTGCTCACCCTGCTCCCCATTGACCTGTTGCACTGCCAGGCATGTTTCCTGGTTTGCCTGCATATAATAGCAATTGAACAGCATACAGAGGAAAACACTTTGTTTTCAGGTTCACAAAAAATTAACATTTGAAAAAATATCAGAACCTTTGCATATCTATAGCTATGAAAATTACAGTTCTTTGTAATAGACTCCATTAAATCTACACATAGACCTTAGAAGTGTTGATCATTCACTTCAGCAAGCATGTTAAAGATATGGTTGTTTGCCTGCTAGAGATTAGACCGAAGACTCAAGTTGCAGCACTACTTGGTCTGCAGTAGCACATGTTTGTCAGCAAAGCAAAACACGTTTTACAAAAACTGTGGGAAGTTCTGTTTTGCTGTCTTGGGTTTAACGTCTTGGTCAGGCATGGATATTACTAAAAAGAAAATGGACCTTGCACAATCATAGCAACTGAAACTAGAAGTTAAGATAATAAGCGCATTAGGAAAGTATTCCTTAAATTAGATGAGAGATTACAATCCAGCTGCTGGAGTTTCTCCCTGTTGGCTCTTAAAAAGGTTCTGTGGTTAGGACACTTTAGTATTGATACCTCCATATTTAACTCATTCACTGCCATTGACGTCTATAGCCGTCAATTGCAGTGAATGAGTCAATGGGTTTAACTCATTCACTGCCAATGGCTGGCAGTGAATGAGTTAAATATGGTCTGTATTCTTTAACTATAAATATACTGTGACTCATTTGTCTTAAAAAGAGGTATTAAGACATGTTAAGTTTGGAGGATCCTGCCAACAGTCTAACCTTAATAAGGTGCTTAATTTTAGTAAGTTGTCAGAGTCGGTGTACATTTTGAATATTGCGTATTTTATTGTATAAAACAGAAGTCGGTGGTGGGTCAAATAGAGTCACTTTGTGCTTTTTTGTTATGTCAAATCAATCTCCTATTCACAGGTAGATGACGTGTTCATGCGTCCAATCCGCGAGGCGCAGTATTAATTCTGCTGAAATGCATATTTTCAGGGCTGATGAAACGGGGCAGCCATTTCTAGGCCATGCAGGGCAATCGTAGCAGCAGAGGCTCGTTAGAGGGTTGAGAGCTTTTACAGTCCAGAGGAGTGCTGTGGCTTGAGGTCACCAAAATACCACAAACATTGCTAGGATCCACCAACAGAGCTGCAGAAACATCAGATTTTCACTTTAGCCAACCAGTCAATGAGGAATAAAACATATTACATTTCAGAATCTGAGGAATCAGGAAGTTTTTTATTTACGGTATCTGTTTGATAAGAGATCTTTAGTCACAAAAAAAGACATAGCAGGTATATCTTGCCTGGGTGTTAAGGTTGCACTTTGCCTGTTACATTTTATGGGTATTTTTCGATTTGGTAAAATAGAGTTAATTGCTCAATGTGTCCCTTTTTTATCAGCAAAGAGCAAAACACTCAGGTTTAAAAAAATTTGTGTGTATGTGTAGGAGATAACAAGCTCTATATTACAAAGCGTTTGAGGATTTGAGGTTTATTTCTCAAAATGTGTTTTGTTGCTCAGAGTTGGTGCTGCCTCATAATATACTGTACTTCTGAACTCAAGTCTTAAAATACAGCTCAACTCCCAGCCTTGCTCATGTCTACAGCTTGATTTGTAAATAAAGAGACCCCATGGGCTTGCATGGAGCACTTTCGTGTAATTTTTTAGACTGTGTGCATATGCTTGGCTGCTGTCCAAGAGATGGGAGAGTCATTAAGCCTAATTAGGCTTTGATATTCTAACCTACCTAAACATGATCTCAACAAAATTCCGGCAAATGTGCTGCAGTTGGATGTATTTGTTGCTGCACAAGCTGACATCCCCCCCAATAGGCGATATATGCCGCCTGTGAGGATGTGGGCTTTTATTTGCTTTCCTGTAATTTCCTTGAAAGTGCCGAATATCAAAAGGGAATGTCAGGACTACTATCTACTCTATCATTTTTCAGGGTTAAATACCATGCTTTATTTTGACCTTCCCACCGTGTTCCATAGTGAAGCCACACTTTGCGTCGGCCTTGCTGCTCCTCACCGTGAAACTTAATAATGTTGTAATTAGGACAGGACAGAGGAAAGCATGTCAGTAATACAAATGATTAGTGGGAGGGTAAGTGTATCATATGGTGCTGTGGGTTGACATCTGCATGTATGTGATGGACAAGAAGTAGGGAAAGTGAATGATGAAACAAAAAGCAGCAAATGCAGGAGAGTGAAAGAGGAGGGAAATGCAGTGACAGAACCAGAAAGTAACAGGAGACATAAAAAAAAAAAGTAAAGAAGTCGTTGTCACCCACCCCCACTCACCCAGCCATCTGTAAAACAGGCATTAGGATGAGCAGCAGGTAGGAGGCAGGTCCAGGGAGAGATCAATGTAATTTGCAAAGTGCCTTCCACATAGTTTCAGCCTCTGGATTGTCTCCAGATTCATCACACACACACACACACACACACACACACACACACACACACACACACACAGAGGCACACAATGCTTGAGGACAATATAAAAATTAAACTACAGCCTACATATTTGTCACTCCAGGAGTCACGGTCAGTGTGCAATTTATATAACAGAGAGGTGAATACATCAAACAATGTTTAGAATATAAATGATGAAATATGAAAACATTAGTTAACATAGTGGGTTTTGTTTTGTTTTTTCATGTTGGAATTAGAAATGCACTTTATTAAAAAATGGGTACTTTTAGGCACATGAAAAATGTGCATCTAGCTCCTGAACATGTAATTCCATCCGTGGACTTTATTCTGCACTCCTCTAATATCCTTTCAAAAGATTTCCTGCAAGGAAAAACCCACTTTAGCTGCAACAGGAAGGTGTGGCATTATTGTTAAAGGATGATTTCTTTTTTTAAAATTTGCCCCAAAGTTGCTGGAAAGGTTTAAAATCAGGATTCTGAACAAACTGGTCAAATACTCCTTCACCAAACTAGAACAAAAACCTAGTTCATGTAGTGCCTAGATATTCCTAGTCTAGGAAATTAACCCAGACCCCACATTGTGTAGCTAATACATGATCAGTCATTATGCTGAGACCATGCATGACACTCAGTCCAGCTGACTAATGACATTTGTCACAGGCATGTAGGGAAATTTGTTTTAATAATGTCATTAAAACTTCCTGCATTTTACCTATATTGTGCAGGCCAATTAGTATATTATGTGAGAGGGGAGTTTGAGGAATCTCTCTCTATTTCCCCCCTCCCCCTGAGATCTCATTACTGTGTGATGGTGACAGTGTTGGCCAATCGACCTGTGCCTCCCATCTCATTCCCCTCATACATCACTACTGCCCTCTTAGGAATAGGGGAATTAGTCTGAGTGTGACTGCAGCTCCTCAGCCTGTCCCTGCTAATGTTAATAAGGAAAAAGGTGAGTTTAGCTTTAGCTCATGCCCGACTGTGCAAAACTGCATTTCAGAGACAGAAAATGTATGGGTGACTGAGGGGTGGAACGGCCAACAAGTACCCATCAACATTTAATGTCTTTTTACATATACAATGCAACTTCACTTGGATTTGTTGTCAAGGAGGTAGCATTTTCTTTTGCAAAGGTATAATTTGGCGTTTACTATTTGTTAGGGCTTGGAGGATGGTAAAACCTGCCATAGGTATAGGTTTATATGCTCAGTGACTTCCGAACTGAAAATCTCACACATTTTGTTAGACTTTTACCCCATTTGATGTCATGAAGTGATGTTTCATTAATTATTAGATTGGCAAGACTTTTGTGAATGCCTTAGTTTTCGGCCAATTAAATCTCTATACAGTGGTGGTCAGATGTTTACGCACACTCATGAATATCATGGTCATTCTGGGCTTGTGATGATTGCTTTGAACTGTTGTTTTCCCAGGGTGGAATGATTGTACGGCATACATCTTTAATGACTTTATAAAGCAAGAATTGGGTACACAAGTTTGAATATATTTCAGATTTTTTCTAATCCACACTGGTTGGCTAAATGTCCCTTAGCAAACTGCACCTTGACCAGATGCTTTTGGTAGCTGTCAACAGCCTTCTGGCGTAATTCTGGCTGGATATTTGATCACTCTTCTTTGCAGAATTGGTTGAGTTCATTTAAATTGGTTGGTTTATTGCCACAGAACCGGCTTTTAAGTGTAGTCCACAAATGTTCAGTAGAGTTGAGGTCAGGGCTTTGGGAAGGTGATGCCAGAGGCTAAATGTAAGCCTCCATTGTCCTGTTAGAACACACAATTTTGTCCAAGTTTCAGTCATCTAGATATTAATTTGTCAAGTTGAAACATTTGGAAGTAGTCGTCCTCATTCATTATTCCATCCATTATGTGCAGTCTACCAGTATCACTGACAGACAAACGGTGCCAGAGGATGATTCTACTGCCAACAAGCAGAGAGCTGCTACAAAACATTAGTTTTACCCCTCCAAACATATCTCTTTGTGGCCAGATAGCTCAGTCTTTGTCTCATCTGACCGTAAAACTATCGTCTAGAAGGTAATTGGCTTGTCCGTGTGGGCAGCTGTAAATTGCAGTCGATGTTGAAAGTGTCATTTTGGAGTGGGGCCTGACTCTCAGTCGACACCCTCTCAGTTCAGTATTTGTTTTTTTCTGGGTTTTTTGGTTGTTTTTTTTCAACTGATGGTCTTGGAATGGGTGATTGTTTAGAAATGGTTCCAAGAGACTATCCCAACTTATCCAAATCTATACTTCTCTTCAAGTTAATAGGCCTTGGATTTTGTCAGGTTAAA